AGAAATTAAAGAAACAGTGGATCACCTGGTTAGCTGCTGCAAGGAGATTGCACAGACTACAGTGCTCTTGAACTTCAAACAGACAAGCACCTGCCACATAACAACTGTCAGCAAGAAAAATAAAAGTCTGGACAATGGATGTGGCACTTGTGGCAGTACCTGGAGACAGCAGAATAGAAGATAAAGAATTGGAAAAAGTACAAAGACTTGCAAGTAGGAGTAGAACAACTATAGCAAAAGTAAGCAAAGATATAAGCCATAGTGATAGATACCTTATGCACAATCCCAAAGCAACTGGAGCTCCACTTGAACCTCATCAACATTGACAAAATCACCATCAGTCAATTGCAAAATGAAGCTTTGCATCCTGCGATAATACCTTTAATATCATTAAATAACATCTGCTTATCACAGGTTCCTGGACTTGATAGACAGAGAAAAATGCCAAATCCAGTCTCAAAGTCTGGCTGACTGTGCAACCAATAATACTAACCGTTACTACATTTTTCTATGCAGATAATATTGAGCTGGATGGACAAACCTTAAATAATGCAGCTTCCTGTGTCCCTTTCCCTCAGTACAGAGCTAGTGCAAAACATAATTAACGTGATAACAGAATTACGTTAGTTTATGTCTGTATGCCTAGATAAGGATAGCTAGTACCTCACAACTTTCAAACTAACAACTTAATTCACAGCAAAATCACTATTATCGATGTATGCATTACTTTTCTAAAAATGAAAGCAATAAATGCTTGTTTAGTCTTCCATTATAACAATTGAAACAAAGTATTGGGATTAGTTTACTACATGGTATATTTTGATATGTCTCTAAAAATTTCCACATTCAACAAAGAAAGTAGCAGTCTGAATTTTTGCTCAGTCTGAATATATACAGTAGAAAAAATGGTTTCTGGATGACTTTTTTTTTAAAAAAAGGTAAAACTATCATATTTTTCCACTGACCAAAAGGCAGCTCTTGAAGGCCAACTGGAAATGTCAACTGGTCCAGAATGTAGCAGGATGCACAATAATGGGGCTCTAGGTGGCCTGTGTAACACTTCTGTTGCGTGAGCTGCAATGGCTTCCAGTTTCTTTCCAGGTGCAATTCAATGTGCTGATCATCACCTTTGTAGCTCTATGTGACCCAATGCTAGGCTGTCTTCAGGACCACCTTTCCCTGAGAACATCTGCCCATCCTACCGGGTCAGATAGGGAGGGGCACACTGCTAGTTCCTTCCCCCTAAATATTGCCATCTGATGGGAGGTAGGAAGGGTTTTCTGTGTTCTGCCCCTGCCTTACGGAACACTCTGCCCTACTGAAGATCAGCAGGCCTCCACCCTTTTAGCCTTCCATAAGGCTTTGAAGAGCTGGCTTTCCCCCCCCCCCAATCAGGAGAAGATTAGATAATCAAACGTTAGAACTGTTTGGTGCCAGCTTTTTGTTATTTTAATGGTTTAATCTGTTTAGTTTTATAGCTTTAATATGATTATAGCTTTTAATGTTTGATTGGGAGCCACTCAGAGTAGGTTGAAAGATGGGTGGCTATGTAAATGTTTTAAATGCATGCACGCATGCATACATTTATACATACATACATGCATACACGATACACTCTTCTGAGAGTTAAACACTTGCACTGGTGCATCTGTGTGTTTCTGTGTATGAATGTGTTTTGAGTATTTCATATGAACCTAATAACTGATTCAAATTCAAATATTTTCTTTTGGAAAGCTAAATTTTGCTTCTTGTTTAGATTATTGGAAGTAAAAGGAAAGGAAGGGTTGAACCTATCTTTAAGAAGTTTGATGTGAGTGTTAGTATATATTTATTTCAGTAATGTGTGTGACAACTAACTGGTTTTCACTTGTATAGAAACATCTTTTCTGCGAACTAATTGTCCCTTAATTATTATTATGTATGCAACTGTTGACAATTTCCAGAATGCCAATAACACTTTTTTTGAAGCTGCTATCATCGCGGTGATCTCCTGATTCACATACACGTGAATGTGTTGATTCATATAAATACTGACTCAGCAGGGCAGCCCAACTACCACTTGGGCAATATGATTATGGTGGTGGCTGCTGCTGTTTTATTTTTTTATCCTTTTCCATGTGCTGAAGATTTCATTATAAGGGTGTATTTAAGGAAAATTTGTGAAGTCACAGGTTCACAAGAAAAAAAATTGAAGAAAGATTAATATCAATGTATAAAATGAAGTTATTTTAATTTGCTGCAGAAAAAAATAAGACCTGCTGTCTTAGTTGAACATTACACTTGGTTTGTTAACATTTGGTCAGAAGATGGAATGACTGTGCTAAGTACCTCTTGATAAATGGAAAGCAAGCATATCAAATCAATAATCATACCAAAAGTAACAATTAGAGGTCTGAATAAAAACCTCTGTTATTATAATGAAAGGGAAAAAAACCCTGTAATAAATTGACTGGATTGGTGGACTACTTTATGTAATTCCAAAGAATATATTAGGAACATAACAGTGGGATTTCTCTTTTTTTGCCCTGCTTGTGAGTTCTTAGCTTCATCTTTCTTTAAATACAGAATAAAATAGAATAAATAGAATAAATGGTTTGTAGTCAGATCAAGTAAGATAGTGCTGAGGTCCTTAGCTCTTTGTCAAAATATAGAAATGTAGAAAATTATATTGAATGCCACTACAGTACTGAACAAACAGCCTAATTTGTATGAATAGCCCATTAATTTGAAAAATGTCCAGATGGAAATTTGTATTTGAATTCCACTAAATGAGGGTTTAATAAATTAAGTTTTAACTTGCACTCAAATACAGTAGCATGTTTTTTCAGATTTTCACTGTTGCTGGAATCTCTCCCCACCCCCCTAGGCCTAGAGAAGTTTTAAAGGCAAGATTAGTAAGCACAGACAATAAAGTTATATTAAATGTTGGATTCTTTCTTGGTGATATTTATTTGCCTATATATAAATAAACATGAAATATTCTTTTTTAGCATAGTTATTAAGAAATATTTTAAACTGTGTTTGTATAATGAGATATGTTATAGCTTCTGTGCTTTCATTAATATCCCTTTTCTTCCTCTTCTCTTTCCAGAATGGAAGAAACAGTGAGGAACCTACTACAAAGTCAAGGATTATCTGAGCCCAATGGAGAAGAATCTGTGCCCATATTAAAATCATATCAGGTAATAATGATTTTAATAACTCTATTTGCAATCTTAATAACTGGTAGAGTCATTAGAAGATGAAATTTGAGTAAGCACAGTTGATTTAAAAGTTGCTACAATTATCTCTTCTGAATAAGAGATATGCTGTCATATATGTAGTTGAAGCAGAAAATACTTCTCAGGAAAAGAAGAATCGGGAAATGGTCTGTGTACTGGCTACAGAACCAAAAACTCATAAGGCAGAAGTGCAGTAAAAATAATGGATGGAGAATGTGATTAAAAATGACATTTAAGCTTCTGAAAAATGCTTGGAGCTATCACAGATTTCCCATGCATTGAGGATTCTCTGAAACATCTGGAAAAGAGAGGACGAGAGTTGGGAAGACAGGCAGATAAAACACTGCAGGCAAGTGGCCGGATCCTAATTTAATGCTAGGCAAATATACATGGTGACTGAGATGATCCTTTTGTTCCCCACTGCAGAGTTATTTTTTTATGTTGTTGCACATGTGTACATATAAGTAAATTGTGTAAGCATATAGGTTACGTAAGATATGTTCACATGTGGGTAAGATGTACAAATGCATTCCCATTTCCTTTGTGTGTGTCCATGTATGTGCATATTATGAAAATATAGCCATGTCTACATTTGCACATATATGTGGACACTGAAAATGTTTTGTGCATTTAGGCAAGCTAGCCTACTGTTTGTCTTCACATGAATACAAGTAGCGTAAATCTGTAGATGGACATGAAGTGCCTGCATGCAAGCACTTGTGTAGATGCATATTTGTGCAGACGATTCCGAGAAAATGCTTTATGATGTCATCAGAATAATAATATTGACTAATTGATGAGGTCAATGTATTAAAACCCTCTTCGATTAAACAGTAAACTCTTATTAAGTGGGCACAGATTGTAATGTGCGTAGCCATTAAAATTACATTACATGCGTAGGAATTTCATTTCTTTTCTTATTTAAAAAAACCTCTTCTATGACATCATTTGCGACCTTAAAAAAGATGTAGGGCTGTATTTCTTATATATACACATAAAAATATACACATTTAATTTACTGCAAACTCATATATATATTATTTTTAAAAATATGTATTTTTTATCATCGAACCCATATTATTAATCAATTGATATAACTTAGGCTACAGAATTGCTTTTTAAAAATAGTAATACTTTTATTTTTCATCATTAGGAGAGAATGCGTGAATCGTGTAATTATCTTTGAAGCTGTATTTGCCACTAGTTAAGAGTATTATAGTCAAAAGAAAAATTTAAATTTGATAAAAAATAATTCAGAAAGAAATGAGAAAATAATATTGAGAATAATTGTTTTGATTATGGGGATTATGAAATATGAAACAATTCCACATTTCCAGGGACTATGGTAAGTTGTTTTCACTATGTGCAACATGTTCAAGGTAATATTTCAGTAATCATAAAAGCATCTTTGCAGTAAACACTTTTTGATCTATTGACCACTGACTGCGTATTTGTCTTTTCTTTCTTAAACCTAATTATTGTTTAGGGATGTATAAGACAGCTCTGATCACAATATCAATATTCCTGTCTCCCGAATAAATACTGATGCTAATGAACTTTAAATATTGCCCAGTTCACATGTCAATGGAACAGTAATCAGAGGAATAGCAGAACATGCATGCATTATTGTTAAATTTTTAAGATCTTTTTTTTTCCAGACAGAGGTAATTTATCTTATTTCTTTTATATAAATTATTTTAACATCTTATTGACACAAAGACACTGATAGTTGCACTGATTTTAGAATAGAATAGAATAGAATAGAATAGAATAGAATAGAATAGAATAGAATAGAATAGAATAGAATAGAATAGAATAAAGCTGGAAGGGACCTTGGAGGTCTTCTAGTCCAGTCCCCTGCTCGAGCAGGAGAACCTATACCATTTCAGACAAGTGATTCTCTAGAATCTTCTTAAAAATCTCCAGTAATGGGGTGCCCACAATTTCTGAAGGCAAGTTGTTCCACTGATTAATTGTCCTCACTCTTAGGAAGTTTCTCCTTAATTCCAGGTTGCTTCTTTCTTTGATCAGTTTCCAACCATTCTTTGTTGTCCTGCCCTCTGGTGCTCTGATGCCCTCTTCTTTGTGGCAGCCCCTCAAATACTGGAATACTGCGATCATGTCGTCTCTGTTTCTTCTTTTCTTCAGACTAACCAAACCCAAGTCCTGCAGCCATTCTTCATATATTGTAGTTTCCAGGCCTTTGATCATTTTAGTTGCTCTTCTCTGAACTTTTTTTTTCATGGTCTCAACATCTTTTTTGTTGACCAAAATTGGTTGCAGTATTTTTTGTTGACCAAAATTGGTTGCAGTATTTTTTGTTGACCAAAATTGGTTGCAGTATTCCAGGTGTAGTCTTACTAGGGTTTTATAAAGTGGTACTAATACTTCGTGTGATCTTGATTCTATGCCTCTGTTTATACAACCAAGGATTGTATTAGCTTTTTTGGCTGCTGCTGCACACTGCTGGTTCATAGTCAAGTGATCGTCCACTAGGACTCCAAGGTCCCTCTCACAGTTGCTGTTTCTGAGCCAGGTCTTGCCTAATCTGTACTTAAAACTTTGATTTTTTTTCCTACCTAAATGTAAGACTTTGCTTTTCTTCACATTAAAACTCATTTTGTTGGACAGGGCCCATTGTTCAAGTTTGTAATATCTTTTTGGATCCTGAGCTTATCTTCTGGGGTGAAGAGTAGTGGACCTAAAATAGAGTCTTGTGGTACCCCACTGCTTACTTCTTACTTACATTTTGTTTAATGACATATTCAAAAATAAAATAGCAAAAATGAATTTGGACATGAGGTGTTCAGAAGCAGTGTCATCCATTTCACCTTAGGAAGCATGCCTTCACTGTCATGGCCTGCCTTATGAAACATGACATATAAAGACAGCAACTTCTCTTCTGGCCTTTCAGGAGGCTATGAAGATAAGCCCCTTTCCCTGGATGTTGAGACCAGGATGTTAATTAACTTGAACTCTGGTTGTGTGAATGTGTTAATTTGGATTTTGTTTGGCTTTTTTTTAAATGGATGTTTATATGTTGTTTGCTGCACAACTTTTTTTTTAGATAGCTGGATGGCCATAGACATTTGATAAATAAGTAAATAAATAAACAAACAAACAAAAACCAAGCAAGCAAGCAAGCAAGCAAATAAATGTTCTGGAACAATTAAAATATACATTAAAACCCAATAAATAAAATAACCCTGAAACAATAAAATCAGCAGCTGGAATAAAATGTTTCTAAACAGCAACATTTTATCATATTGCTAATATTGATTTAAATGCCTAGAAAAATAATAACATCTTTCCTTGGCATAGGTTATAGAAGTATATCCAAATGGAAGGAATTGGGAGTTAAAACAGGAAAAAAAACAGAGAAATTGCTTTCTGTCTGTGTTATTCAACTTTTCTCTAACCCCTACTCTCCGGTGTTCTCCTCAGCTGTGGCTATGGGTCTAGTAGAAGTAGCAACTTTTGTCATAGAGAACATTTGCAACCTATGAATTCCCAGCTATAGTGTTATTTGGAAGATTTTCCTGGCAAAAATAATTTCTTATTGTTCTGGTTCATATTTCCCCTATTTAATTGATCCACCACCTCTTAGCATCCTCTTCATAACATATCTCCAACTGAAATATAAGGACAATAGTAAAAAATGGAGCACAGAAAAATATATTAATTAAAAGTTTTTGAAGTTCCATTATGAATACGTAAAGTGCCTTTTTTTGGGAAAGGTTTGATGTAATATGCACAGGTTTTTTTTAATTAAAATTGAATACACTTCAAGTTAAAATGGAAGGGATGTAAATCAACTTGCTGTTAGATTTGAATTCAGTAAGTGTACACATTCAGTTGCCAAAATACATGGAAGCAAAAATAATTAATTTGCATACTTCTGCTTCATAATTATAACTGTCAGACCCAATGACTTTGAATGTAGATTGGAAGGTAAAATATTTATATTTGCAAATTAATATAAAAGAAAAATATAAACAGGAGTTAAGGGGAGACTGGAAACATTTGGTTCATGTAATATTTCATTGTTGAAGAAATATTGAGAAGCAGAAACTAGATGGAAGTGCCTAAAAGTACTTTTAAAGTTGGCATCTTAAATTGGTAAATCTGGATAAATCTAAATTGAATGTGATCTTAAACATCACATGTTGCAGTAGTGCTGAATTACACAATAGACTCTTAAAGATAGGCTAGGCTTGATGCTCTCCATATATCTAAATTCCCAGTCAGCACAATAAGAATTGATTTATCTTTCAAAACCTAGCAACTACATCAAAGATAATTGAGAGTCAGCTGATCAAAATACGAGGGCAATTCGGATATAAACCTTCATTTGAGCATGTGCGAGAAATAGGCGGGGATAGTGACGCTCGTCCTATGGCGCCGTGTGCAGTAGTTCAGTAGGCAGGGAAGAGTGAAAGGAGAAAGTTGTGTTGCAGTTGACTCGTCCGCTAGATCAATGGAAAATGAACCCTGCCATAGAAAAAACTGCCAAATGTGAAGGGCATGCAGTAATATGATTCCTGTGTGCAAAAAAAACTTTCGGCAGCTGCAATTCATCGTGAACTGTGTAATATTTACGGACCAAACCTGATGAGTGAAGGTGTCATGCATCAATGGTGTCAAATGTTTAAAGATGGACAAACTGACGTGCACGATGAGGCAAGAAGTGGCCGCCCATCTGCAGTCAGCAATGAACTTGTGCAGGAAATTGGCAAGGATGACTTCATTCCCAGGCGGGAGATTTTTTTTTTTGCAGGAAGGAATTTCAAACCTTGTAAGATGTTATGACAAGTGCCTCAATTTGAAGGGCGATTATGTCGAAAAGTAATGTAATGTTGTAGTTTTCTAATGTGCATAATAAAAGTTCTGTATCTGCGAGTGTCTGTCATTGATAACCAAACGGAGGTTTGTTTCCGAATTGCCCTCGTACTTATGTGGAT